ACTATGGTTGTGTTAAGACTCCGTCAGATATCAAGTGATACCTGTTGTTGGATTTTATTAGTCATTAGTATTTTTTGTATATGGCGACATTTCTGTTCTTTTATGGCTGACTATAATACTTTTTTTTCTTGTGTATAATTGTTTCTGTATTCATTAACAGAATGTCCTCTTGTTTTGTTACTATATATGACGATGCTTTTCTATTTTATCCAGATTTGCGTGATATATTATTAGAAGAATTATTCAACGATATAACTCATTTAGAAGAAAATGAGCACGAGTTACTCACGTTTTATTTTGAAAATTTTTTAATCTGTTTAATGCATTGTAGTTTTTCACATAAAAAACTGTAGGAGAATAAATTACTCTTAACTAGCGAATTAGAACTCATTATAGCAAACAAAAGATTTTTTGCTTTATTGCTCTTACTTTCTTTGAAAAAGCAAAGAAAAGGTTTAAAGCGAAGTATTTATTCTTTATGTCTGGATTTCCATCTCGCGAACAGAATACCGGAAAGGGATGGTTGTCCAGTTTGATGCAGCACTTTGTCTCATATTGTCGGCAAAATAGAAAAGAATGAAATAAGATCTATAAGTGCAAATAAGCGGAGAAGATCAACGTTTGAAACTTCTGCTGGAATTGGGACAAGTCTCAAAAAGAAAAAGATCATTTAAGCAACAATGGAGAGAATAAGTGATAATATCAGTTTCCAGTTTGCGTAACGGTTGGATCTGGTTTTGTGTTTAAATCAAATACAACTCCAATAAAAAGATAACACTTGACAACCAGTGTTTGTGTGTAACAAATTCTTTTTAGTGATCATATTTTACTAACACGAGTGTCTTCGGATTTGATAAACTTCGCATATTCTGTGAAAACAAACAAAACGTATGTGTACACCATGCCTGAAAAACTGGGTGTGTACGCTGCGCCAAAATCGCATTCATTTATTATTATTATTGCTCGAATTCATTATTTAGGTAAACTTCAAGTCAGTTTAATTTAACTTCTCTGTTACAGATCAAATTTTCATCAGAATGTCTCACGCTTTAGTTGAAGAAAGGGAGTTACCGGTAAATTCGCTTTAGCATCTTCACTATTACTGTTCAGTTAAATATATTTGTGCGTTTAGACAGCGAAACTATTGAAAAATACGGATTTTCTTTTTATAAACAAGGCCAGTAAACTTGTAGAAATCATAGCTAATTTGGAAAGAGAAACGATAATCAGTTTCGATCTAGAGGTAAGCAAATATACATAAATTAACACTTTGGTCAAGGTTTGTTTAAATTTAGTTTATGGGGGATTCTATCGTGGTCATACAATTTTCGACGTAGGATACAGATATAGTGATACATACGAAAAACGATGAGATACAAGCTAAAATGTGTATGTTCAATCGTATATTTACCAATAACAATATTTTAAAAGTAAATCAACCAACTATTAACTTTTTTTGTTCCAATGCAACTTCTTGTGCTTTAGATCGGGCACGGATGTGATAACGATGTTATTATGTTAAGAAAATATCGTATTCAGATACAAAAATTATTGGATGTTCAAATTGGTTTCAATTATTAGCGGATCTAAAACAAAAAGCTAGTTTATCAATGATCAGTGAATATTGTAAAAAACGTCTCGTTGAATTTACTCCAATACAATTGAAAAAAAAGGGCAGCGTGCTGATTACTCGAGGTAAGTAATTACGGAGGGTCAAATATAGTTTTCACGTCTGCTTATTCTTATTTACCTATGTAGGTTACATAAACAACACGAAGAAAAAATGCGGTATCTTCGTCTTGATGCACATAATTTGTACTTTATATATAGAAGAATATATCGCGATCTGATGTTAAAAAATGTTAACTTAATAAAACAGTGGCATGCGTTAAGTTCACAGTTGTGTTTGAAAATGAGTAAAAAACAAAAGCAAATGGTAATTGATGACAATAGTGGTGAAGAAATAGAAAACGAAGAGAGCGATAATTATCCTCGAACTGTATTAGAGAAATTTGCTCAATGGACAGCAAAAAAACATGCTGAAGAACAGTATGAGCAAGAGGTAGAACTTGTCTTGCGGACTAGTCCGTTTAAGACGTATGAGAACGACAACAAACATCAATCAAATGAAGTCTGTATATGTTTTGACTCAAGATGACTTAAACGCTGTCGCTTTATTTCTTTATTAAGAATACCGTTAAACTGAGTAAACAAAAGCAAATGGAGATCGATCACAACAGTAGTGAAGAAATGGAAACTGAAGAGACCTATCCTCGAAGTGTCTTAGAGAAACTGACTGAACAGGCGGCAAAGAAACGTGAAGAGCAGTATGAACAAGAGGTAGAACTTGTCTTGCGGACTAGTCCGTTTAAGACATATGAGAACGACAACAAACATCAATCAAACGAAGTCTGTATATGTTTTGATTACCCACTTTTGTGCTTCTTTCTCTCTGGACGTAGAACTGACTCAAGATGAGTAAAACGCTGTCGATTTATTTCTTTGTTTAGAATACCATTAAATATAGTCCAAAAAAATGTGATATATTCGTATGTAATTTGCCGTGGATGGTACGTGTGGCTGATGTTCGAAAAAAATTTCGTACCTATGGACATGTCCAAGTTCTTATGATGAGCCTGGAGGAAAAGCATCATCAAAATTTTGAAGAAGGTATATATTTTATACAGCTAGTTTGTCTTATCAACCAAAGATTAAATGTGCAGTGTCAACCAATACAAAATTAAAATAGTATATGATTTATTAATGTACTGACGAAGAATACGAAGCCGGTCTACATCAGTACATTAATAAATCATATACTATTTTAATTTTGTATTGGTTGACACTGCACATTTAATCTTTGGTTGATAAGACAAACTAGCTGTATAAAATATATACGTTCTAGAAGAATTCTCTGGAATGGCATTCATGACATTCAGACAGAAAGACAGTATCGAACGGCTTATGAATGATCATCGAAACAATCCAATTAAAATGGGTGATAGAATATTAAAACTCAAACGATGGTTAAACAAAGACTATAAAATTGAAGATAGTTTAAGTAAGTATTCAATGTTATAAAATCTTATTCTTCAAAGAAATTAGAGCTTAGTTTGCTATGAGCGTTTTCTTTTAAATTTTCACATAACCATTTGCACAATTTTTGAATGTTCTAGTTGTGTCCAATCAGATAACTGTATATTTTAATCATACTGTTTCAAATGAACAAATTGAAAATATCTTTAAGCAATTTGGTCGAATTAAAGCGATTTGTTATAATAAGAAATTGTTGACAGCTGATGTTACGTTTGCTTATTATGATTCAGTAGATCGCGTTTTATTATGCTTGCCACTCGATCCATTTCATGTTAAACATACCGAAAAAAAAATTGATTTATATTGCAAAGATGATCAACGATATATAGATTTAAGAACCGCTATTCAATATGCGAAGGAGACAAGACGCATAAAGAGAAGAAGAACATGAACATACGTGTTACTTATGTGTTATTTTTGTTTGTTTTCATGAGATATTGGTCTCATCATTTCTTGCTTGATAACAACTTTGTTGGCTATTTAATCGAGAATATGCATATATATACCTTTCAGAACAAAAAAAATTGAGATAAAGTTGAACATTCTTTTTAGTATGTACTGATTTTCAAGCTCATTGTTCTATATGTCGCCTGACTTGCAGTATAAAGGAAACTGTGTGGGGAATTGTAAAGATTAGTATAGCTAAGAACGAGTGGCTGACTCGAAAGAGAAAAAGTTTGCTTTCGTTTCACTCAGTCAACTTAATAATTAATCTAAGCGCGTGATCTATCATATAACGCTAATTGATGAGTGGTTATTATTCATCATTTAACACTCTTATTTATTATTTATTGATAGCTATGTTTCAAGAAGATATTGACCAATGATAATAGCAGCCTTCTAACTATTTTCACTTCTGTCCTGCACATTATCTCTCACTACCATGACCCGAAGAGAAAACCGGAAAGTCGTGGTAGTTTGGAAAGTTCTCTGAAAACTCATTGGCTGTTTCATTTGGATCGAAAGCTGCTTTTTCATACGCTCATCTGTGATAGTGGCCGTACGAAATTTTAAAATTTTAAAAACTGTAAAATTTAATTTAAAAATCAAAAACAAAATTTTAAAGAAAGCTCTCGTTAGGGACTCCGGAATTCGATTTTGAACAACTTTTGTATCCAGAGTTTTGCTTCGAGCGAAACTAGCCGTAAGGTGAGGTGAAAAAATCTGAGCTGAGCCAAAAACCAGCGATATTTTCAAGTTTTGAATTTTTTCTTCAAGCCTTCCCAGTTGGTAGAGGATACTTCTTTTTTGAGCACGAGGCTATTATTACAAAATTTCCTATCCATTTTCCATTCATCATAAAACTTGGTTCTTGCCTAGATCGATAGAGAAATGTGTGGAGAATATTTACTACGAGAAAATATGTAAACGTTTTTGTTCTTTTCTTCCTGTTATTGACTAATTAGTACTAATTAACGTTAATTTAGCCTACTCTACTAGCTTAAACTCCCATTTATAAAATAACGACTCAACAAAAATATTTAAGCAATACCTCATCTGATAGAGAAATTCTCTATCAGACGAGGTATTTCTCCTGAAGGCCTTTTCTCTAGAAAAAAACATCAAATTTTCATATGGTATGTTGCGGTCTATGTTCATTCAATTCATGTTTTTCAGATTTTTCTCTAACTATGCCAAACTCTCTTAGATGGTGTAAACTGTGTGATAAAATTGATGCGAAAACCAAAGTAAAATATCTCACAATTCGTTCAGAAGTTGTTGAAAATAAATTGAAGTGTGGCTATTTGTATGTAAACAACTGTGAATTTACTGGATCGTTACTGGAATACACAGGTTCACAAAACATGTTACGTCAAGCTTTTGAGACAACAGTGCAATTTAATACAACCATCGCTTAGTTTCCATTACTCACCCAATTCCAATATACAATCGCGACAGCCATTGCGTAACGTTACAAATCGAGCACCGATAACATCTCGACCTGATTCGCATTTATTATCAACGAAAACAAAAACTTGTCAGTCGTCTATTACGTTTTCAAAAAGGTCAAGTGAAACAGCGAACAGTAAATTTTTGCAGCGGAGTGAAAAAGAAAGAATTCGTAATTTTGATGCTAGTTCAGACTTGGTAAAACTGTCTGCGACATTTGATGGTCATGAGACGATGCGAGATACAACAGCAGAAATAAAAACGCCATCGAATTCTTCGCAACAGGGAACGTCAACGTCAGCTCTGAAAACCAAAAAATCTGCACAAACTTAACGCTGAAATCCTATTCTAACTTCAACCCCGACCACGATCAGGGAATGAGAGTTATAAATCGTATTACGGATTCAAATGAAAAGAAAATTGCGTGTGAAACATTATTAGATTGCGTTGTTAAACTGTTACGTCAATCGATTGATGACAATAATCATTATTTCAAAAAATTAAAGCAACAACCAGAATTATTAGCGAATTTCACATCGGGTTTGTATTGGGATTTCGTTCCTCTGATATTGAAAAACTTCATTGGTCTTGTAACAGTTAACGAACGAAAATTTGATGAAATGAAGCGCGATTATATCTTTTATGATGCATTAGATAAAGATTTATTTAAGTCATCTAAAAAATGGCTGAAAATTTCATCTGTTTCGTACGACCTCATTAATTGCAAAAACAACAATAACCCTTCACCCAAACATTATCTGCTCGGAAATGAACTTAACAAACATAAACGGTCATTTCAATTGATGACTCTCATGAATAGATTTGGGCATTCGTGTTCTTAGCAAACGATAACAAGACTGCACAAACAATCAGCTGCGCAAGTATCATCATCATCCTGCTTACCTAAAACAGTGCAACATCATCTGGGTTTCGGAATTAAAGTAGCGGACAACTTTGATCTTAACAAAGAAACAATTCATGGGAAAAATAGCATCCATATTATGAATCAAATAATTATACAAACTGCAGAAAATGATGAAGTTGTTTGTAGTGTTCGTGAGTGTTTGGATGAATTAAGCAACACAGCTTCAGACAGGCTAGAACTGTCTGTGATATCTGATGCGTCTATGACGACGAGTGGTGCTTTAATCAATTCGGCAATGGCAACGACAACAAATTCACTAATAATGAATAACTATCTTTCATACGAACCATTTGTTGACGAGTCATTCAAACTCG